TCATGCTGTACAGTACGCAAGCAGAGGAGGCATTGAGCGACTATGAAATCTGTGTTGGATGAAAGATAAGCGACCTTAGGTTTGGTCATATCTGCATGTTTCTATAATACTACTACTACACATACAAACACACACACAAATAATAAGTTCCAACGTCAGCAATAGAGAAGAAAACAAGCGCTGTCAATATTACCACAAATCACAGGTTAGCAAGCGATATCAAACCAGGGGATTTTTGAATCACATGACCAATAATGACATTTTTGTCGTGCGACATGGATGATGCATCCATTGTTTGATCGAGAACTACATAGGCAATCCCTCGCATTGCCTGATCAACTGGAGGAGATTTATACGAACAGTAAGTGTATGAACCCCGGTCGACTGGAATGGTATCGATCTATTAAAACTACAACAGAAAGTATCGAATCGATGTGAGCACCGGAGCGACTGGATTGACTTTGCAGTTGGCAAACCTGTGACTTTTTGTGAATATGAGCTTTTGGGGGTGTGTTCGATCTCGGTCGGTACCGCGAAATTAATCTTACACTTCAACCCCGGTTCTGGCTGATGTATTTTGTTAATGTCTCAGCTCAGTAAAATGGGAGATTCATCGGTTGATATTGTTGGTTTTAGGGAAAGCTGGATGATGCACAAAAAAGAACTTAGATGGAGCAACGCAGGTTCTGATTCTGATTCTACCGTTACCTCGGTCGACCACACCACCTGGGGCCGCCAATAACCGGTAAGGCGAACACCACTGGATATCCAAACTGAGGAAGCCTTACACCATGTCTATGATCAAGACCACTGATTGAGGTTTTCACGCAAAATCATATTCAGACATTCTTCAATCTTCTTCCAGGCATTATCGATCTTGACAAATATCAAACACCGAGAAAGCCTATCCAGAGGCGTACACAATTCGAGACCGAGATTACTTAATGCTGCAAACAGTTGCCACACCAGATCTACTGTTCACCGATGAGAACTGGTGACCTGGCTCCGGGGGATGGCTGTTCCCTGTGGTAAGCGTCGTATGGAGCCGAATGACAGCACAGTTGTCTACCATCAACGGTGGTAGGATTTGCATCTCGGATATTAAAATACAGATGGTTATTATGATTTGCACCGTTTGACGATAGCGACCACCACCGAGATGAACCATGCAAGCATATCATTAAAATAAAAAGGTAAGTTTACCCGTACTTAACAACAACCGAGTCTTTACGAGCAAACCTTTAAAGGGATATCCATTGCGACAGTCACTCCTGCAGTGTACTACAGAGGTGATTAAGTTAAAGCATTATTTCATATTCGAGGATCATACCTCCCCTAATTCGGTGCTATTGAGATGAGTGGAGTTGCCGAATTGCAATATGGGCCTTGGATTGCAATCCTTTGATCATCTGGGCTGCTATTTTCCGCGGACGTTCGAGCGCTTTTTGTTACTGCTTCCAAACGTGGATTGCGTACTCGGCGTGCAGTCGAATGTGCTGATGAGGGGAATGTTTCTGGTCCAAACGGTCCGAAAACCCGTTTGTGTAATCCACCATGCCTTAGGATCAATTATGACGCCCTAAAACAATACAAGGATTATCCTAGATCTTCCTGGATCTCCTAGGTCCTTCCCGTCTGTAGCACGCGGTAGTGGCTGATCTCCAAGTACAAGATTGGTTTCTTTCAAAACATATTCAATTCGGATCTGGGATTAAACAGTGACATATGTCAATCCATCCGAGTTGTTGTCACACGACTGAAGATGATATATGACTGCAAGAATAAAGCTAGCGGGGTTCAGTGTGACGGAAAATACGACACTCAGAATAGGGTCATTGCCATACCGTGTGACAACAAATAGCGCTCGTACGGTGTGGGGACTTTGTTACTGTTGTCGAAAGACGACAATTTGTCATTTTGAATTGGATGTCCGCGATCGCTTCAGAATCACAATCGTTTCAAACAAAACCATCTTTTCCAGTTTCTGTGTAAAGCTCCAACAATGAATCCGGAGACCGGTGAGCCCATAGAAACATCAGTACATGAAGAGAAGACCCGCACAAATCAGATCACGGGATGCAACAGCAGCCATCTGAGTTGTGATTGGAGAAATTGCATTCATACACCTTTTCGAAAGAGCCCAAACACACTGCAATGCCGAAAGGTAACTCTAACAGATAGATTTGAACGAACTACGCCATTGGAACAACTACACTCGCAACTTCGTTAAACAGATATTAGTTCAAATGTAACAACATCCAAAGACAGATGGTGAACTGAACAACCTCGCCTCGAGTGAAGAGTATTTCTGAAATGAGTAGTAACGTACTGAAACCGCACAATCTTCAAGTTGCCTACAAACTAATGAGAACCCAACGGAATCTTATCGTAAACCAGAGGATAAATACTAGAATCATGGCCTACCAAAACAACCATAACCACTACAACAAATTCTACACGGGGCAAACAGGGAGAACACTGACAATTCGCGTGCACCACAACAAACTGGGCATCCGGGGAGACGATGCGTTCTATTTTTTTTAGGTTTGGTATTCAACGGAATACCCTGGCCAACTGGCACATCGACACGGATCCGACGAACGAAATGGACCAATCAACGCACAGAAAGTGCGTCAAGGCACGCGTGACACCACCAGACTGACGCGTTGACGACCCACTGTCAGACTACTCCTGTCCATCTCACCCTCCCAATGTCACCAGCTTGCGGACAAGTAATGGGTTTGGGATGCAGAATAGAATGACGTACCAAACAAACAAGTACGCTGGGTCAAAAGAATAGGAAGAGTGTTTGTTCTATCGTGCATTCTTCGATATTTGTGGACTAGTTAATCTTTCTTAATAGGACATCAAACAAACTGTACAGCATTCACGCTAGTGAATTCTTCAACTTGGAATGGCATACTTGAACGATTCCATTCAAATTCCAAGGCACCGGACGTTGCGCACGATTTTCTTGTATACCGTTCGTAGACTAAAAACAATTTAGTCCCCGGTCAGAGTGATACCGAGTGTATTAGCGTCCAGCCCGGCTATTTTCGGCGGTGCACTCCAACCTTCACACTAACATCGGACTTCGGTGACACGTAGCTCCATTTTCACCGGTCCATCTGATGCGAGACTCCAGTGATCCGGTAGTTCAAATCTTCATGAGTTGGCTGACAATTACCCAAGGCCAGGACTACGTCCCAGTGACTGATTAGGGTACGTTTTCTGCTCGAGGTTTACAAGTGGTTCGAGGACTATGCGGTTCCGTTCACTCACCTTAATTGCAGTTGCGGCCCCCAGTTGTAGGAAATCATGTGAAGGTCAACAGGTGACGTGGAAAAGAGGCATGAGGAAATGCAAGTGGTGGTTGGTTAGTGCGGGTGTCTCGCACCTTTTAGGTCGGAATCCAAGACTCTGGTTGATTGGAGGATATGGCGACTAACCGATAGCAGTGACGTTCTTGCTGTCATTTCTTATCGGGTCA